CTAGGGGAGGGGATGCTCTAGACCTCCTTGGATGGCACCTGTCTGCCCTTTCTTCATGGACTTCCTCCTATTGATGCCCACTTTCCCCATCTCTTTCATCCTCTTTCTCGTTCCTTTATCTCTGGTCTTCCTTTGAGGTTGTGCTGTCAAAGCCAGACCCCTGAAAACCAAGGGGTCAGTCATAAGATCTTAGAAAACTCCTGTCTCCCTGGACAAGCCCCACTTTACAAATGTGGTGTGACAGGCAGTGATGTGGGGTCACCGAGAGCCTTTCTGAGTGTCTTGGGCAAGGCCTTGACCCTCCCAGGCCTCTGTTTGTTCACCTCAGAGCAACAGTCAGGCTGCAGGCTGGCCTGCACTCCTGGCCCTGTCAGGGTGAGCCTCTTGTCTGTTGCCTGCCCCTCGGCTCCAAACAATAAAGGAAGAAGAGAAAAGTGATGCCTTCCCTGTTAAGGATACCAATATTGCTGCAAAGTGCTTTGGAGCAGAGTCAGATGGCAAAAGCTATTTGAAATAATGACACAGATGGAAGCCATCAGCAGTTGTGCGCTGTCGGAGAAGAGTCCTTGGGGACAGTTGAAGAAAAAGGCAGTTAGATGACGGGTCTGGTTGAAATGGCACTAAATCCAGAGTGAACTTGGTTTTTTCCAGAAAACCTTTCCTTGAAATATTAATACCACGAGTGTACAGCTAGCTGAGCCCCCCAGGCAACCCTGCTCGGCAGCCTGCCCTCAGATGGAAAACAGACCAGCCTCTCCTGGGGCCCACGGGTAACCACCATCCTGACTTCAAATGCCGTGGAGGAGTTTTGCCTGCTTTTGAACCTTATGTGCCGTGAGCTCGTTTTTATGTCCATCTTCTCTGGTTCATCATGATGCATGTGCGAGTTCACCCACATGGCGGCATAGAGTTGTTGTTCACATTCTCATTGCTGAGTTGTATGTCAGTGCGTGAGTGTACCACCATCTCTTTACCCATTCTATTGGGAAGGGACATGAAGGCTGTTTATGGTTGAAGCCATTATGAATAAAATACATGTGCATGTATTCTTTTTGTGTTGTTAATCCTCACCCGGGGATATTTTTTCCATTGTTTTCTAGAGAGAAGGAGAGGGAGGAGATAGAGAGAAACATCGATGTGAGAGACACATCGATTGGTTGCCTCCCACATGCGCCCCTTCAGTGCACAGGCTGATGCTCTAACCACTGAGCCTCCAGCTAGGGCCATGTGCATGTACTCTTAGTGGACATTTGTCTTTATCTCTGTTGGGTATTCACAGGGATGCGGAATGGTCTCGACTCAGGGGTGGGGCCAAGGGATATGTAAAGTTTTTTTCCTCTCTGAATTAGGCAAGCCATGAGCATGAAAAGGGATTGTTTGTATAGTATTGGCTTTTAATGAAATTGAGTATGAAAGCTAGTACATAGCATGCTACTGAAATGCAGGCCAGTGGCTCTTAAACCTCTCACTGCCCCTGCCAAGTAGGCCACCGGTGTGGCTGGCTGGAAGCATCAGTGTGAGTGCCCGGCACCTGGGATGCAGTGCTGTGGGAGGGGCTCCGTGCTGGGCAGGGCTGCCCAGAGAAGGATGGAGCATTGGTCTTCCTGGGCTGCCCACTCCTGGGTATTGGAGGTTGCGGGCATTCCTCTGATCCTCTCTCTGGACCTCCCCGTCCCTCACCCTCCCAGACCACAAGCAGAGCAATTCCCATCACACTGTGTCCGGCTGCCTGGTGCAGGCACTGAGCACCCCATGACTGTGAAATCCGCCTGTTCCCAACGTGAAGTGCCGTCGGTCAAGATTCCCCGCCCTGTGCAAAGTTGCACAGAGGACCTGCGCACGCCTTTAATGACAAAGGAGCAAGTTTCTAGTAGGAAAGGTGACTCTTTACAAATCTCTGCTGGATGCCTGGCGTTAGCTGAGGGATGGAGGGAGGGAGTGGTGCAAGAAAGAAAAGAGGAAACACGGACAGCGCCGCACGGATGGAGCCCGGCTGGCCAGGTCGTAGGGCACTCCATGGGGGTGTCCTTCTGATGGCCAGTGACAGCTGCCCACTGGTAAAGTCAGGACAGTTAAGGCCACTGTAATATGTGTCTGATGCGTGAGTCCCGTACCCAATTCAAACCCATCAGCTGAGCAGGCAGTGGACAAAAACAGAGAAAGCCAAAGTCACTTTGGGGACCCCAGCCAGGGGCCAGGGGCTCTCTGCTCCCAGCACCTACCACTAGACCAAGAAAGACTCTTCTTTGACTCCGGCTGTGGGAAGAGCTGTCTGTGCTCCTTGCTCTCTCCGCTAAGGCCTCAGGATGGCTCACGGGCAGGCGGCAGTGAGGCCAGTGGGGGAGGCAGGGTGCTAAAGGAAAGACCATTCTGGGCCCTAACCGGTTTGGCTCAGTTGATAGAGCGTCAGCCTGCGGACTCAAGGGTCCCAGGTTTGATTCCGGTCAAGGACATGTTCCTTGGTTGTGGGCATATCCCCAGTGGGGGGTGTGCAGGAGGCAGCTGATCGATGTTTCTAACTCTCTATCCCTCTCCCTTCCTCTCTGTAAAAAAATCAGTAAAATATATTTTAAAAAAAGAAAAAGAAAGAAAAGACCATACTGTACCCAGGCAAGGAAAGTGGCAGGTGCAGGGGGGTTCTGAGGAAAATTGGGGCTCCCCGGGTAGAACATCTAACCTCACAGTGAGGCACTACACCCTCTTCTCAGTTGGATGTGCCCAGATCCTCTCTGGGGCGGGGGGTTGTGACACCTCAGGGGCTGCATCCTCCCCTCAGCCGATCTGCATGGCAGCCCTTCGCCTGGAGGGGATGTGGGTCACAGAGGGGCCTGCTCTGGACTCGGGCTGCTGCAAAGCGCCGGGCCTGCCTGCCGCAGGACACGGCCCGTCATCACAAATCTCTGAGGCCATGCTGACACCTTGACGAGACCCCGCACTTGTGCCCAGCACCCCCACTCCAGGGAGCGACGAGATGTTCTCTAACTCGTCGGCACGGGCCTCCGGCAACAGCTCCCTCAGTTATTATTTTATGAGACAGTTATCCCTGGCAGCCGCGGGATTAATAAAAATTGAGGGCAATAAAAGAAATCACGGAGGAAACTAACGCTGTCAGCTATGTCATAAAAGGGAGGAAGCAGGCTTTGTTTGTAATGACAAATTCTCCCAGTATCATGAAGCTCGAAGCTCGAAGCTCGGAGGAAGGGACTGCGAGGCACGTTTGGAAGGACAGACCGCACCTGGTTCCAGGTGCCCACCTTCCATGGCACCGACTGCAGAGCCCCCTCCAGTGCGCTGGGGGGCAGAGGCGGACGGGGTCTCAGGTCCAGTCTGTGTCTAAACCACCGGAGGAAGATCCTTCCACCACTCTTCCCACCCTCTATTCCGTCCACAGCGGCCACGGCCCAGACCCTGGGAGTGCCTGCTCCACACCCCAGGGCCTGGAGTCCCACAGCTGCTCCTCTGCCTTCCTCTGGCCCCTCACAGAAGCCAGCAGGTGCCCACTGCACCCAGGTCTGCAAAGCCTCCTGGGAAGCAACACCCCAGCACCCTGCCCTGTCCCCTAGGACTTCCTGAAGCTTCCTGGACAGGTTCTCCCTCAGTGTCTCCTAATGGCTCCTTGCACCCCTTTCCCATCAGGTCTACACCGTGGGTTCTGAGAAGGTAGTGGGCTGCGAGGGAGGGAAGAGGAGGAGGCTCATGCCTGACCCAGGCCTGCCATCCAGGGAGCACCAGAGCTGAGGTTTTGTCTAAGGACTTGCAACTGAAAGCTGTGAGGCTGTGGGGGACGGGTGATGCCTCCATGTCCCTGTCACTGCATGTGGTGGGAGTGGCTCGGAAAACACACACAGGTGGGGGAGGATATGGCTTTGGAGTCACTCCTGTCCTCCTGTGCTGTCAATTACTGACCCAATCATAACTGGATTTCCCAGCGACCCAGATGTGGTAGTGAGGGACCCTTAGAGCACAGTGCCACCCACTGTGCCGGCTCCATATTTGAAAGAGCCCTGAACTACCTCCAGGAAAGGGAAGCCCAGCCTCAGCCCCGGAGAACTAACTTCAGAGACAACATAGAAGCAGCTCAGATCAAAGACGATGCAGACGTGCAGTGTGCACCCCGCTATGAGCACGGGGGTGCGCGCTGAGGGCAGGCAAGGACGGACACCACTCAACAGAGCTTTGAAGGGGGGGAAGAACGTTTTAGGCCTAGAATAAGAAGGAAGCCTCGATAAGGAGACTGGCTGGAAGGGCAGGGGCTAGGAAGTGGCCAGTTAGGAGAGGAGGTGAGAAAGCACACGACTGGGACAGAGATGAGCAGTCACCCTGTGGCTCTTCTGTGAACCGGATTAGCTCACAGGGCTCATTTGGGCAGATGCCCCTGGAACCCTCCCCAACTTATTTAATTACTATGAATTTTCTGATGGTTGTTGAAAAAGCTAGGATGTGCTTCTGGAGAAAGTCAGCTTGCTTTTGCAATATACGCGTCAAACAGCTCTGGCTTGTCTCAGCGCCCACGTGCACTAATAGGGGAGGATGAGGGGGACGTGAGGAGGAAGAGTGGATCTCAGAACAGGATACATGATCAGGCCCCGCCGTTTGGACCCTGAGCAGAAGCCTGAGGAGCAGGACCATGACTCATCCTCGCCTCTTTACCTCCCACTCTGAGGTTTCCTGCTCTGGCTCTGGGCTACCTGGATCCCAACTTTATTTGAGGAATTTCTCCGGAAGGAAATGTGGGTGCTCAGTGCCTGGGCCTTTCAGCAACTTGGCGAAGTGGGTGCTAACAACCCAGATGCTCCAGTTTCCCAAGGGGAGCCTGACTCCTGTGCAGAGAGGGCTGAGCTGGGGCCAATCGGCCGCCTATCAGTATGCAATCCAAACACCAGCCAAGGCCCTTGGCCAGTAATAAACCCAGCCAGCTGCAAAAACAGGCCAGAAAGCCAGAGGAATACAGCCTTGCCCATGTAATGATTAACTGGCAACGCGGGGCCCTGGAGGTCACAGTGATAGTGAGGAAGTTTCCCTGAGCTATCGCAAGTGCAGAGGGCCTGGGAGGGGCCCTGGCTGGGGCCTGATCTTGAGCAAACGATTCCGCCCCCTCCAGGGTGTGCTCCCTTCAAGGACCAAACACTGAGCCTCCCTCTGGGAACAGGGGGACTGACATCACAACCCCAGCGACGCGGACCCTGGTAAAGTACAGGATGAGGACGCTGATAGGGCATCTTTCCAGAAGGGGGCTTTTCCCCAAACATGGGGACCGATAAGCCCTTCCCAGAAGATGGAAGGTTAGTGCTTATCTTTATGGCCTGGCACATCCTAAGGCACTGAGGGCCTCTCTGCTGAGTGAAACTGGAAAAGGATTTTCAAGGGGACTTTCTGGCCTCTGTGGGTTTTTTTTTTTAGTACTTTCGAATCTTGCAGTGGAATTCTTCAGCAATTTTCTTCTGAAATTTCTAGACAACTTCAGATGCAGAACTCATGCCTCCATTCAAACTAATGAGACTGCTGAGCCTCTGCTGGGTCCACTGTGGGCTCAGCACAGAACCTCAGAGAATTCTCTCACTGGGAAGGCAGGCCACCACCGAGGAGAGGTAATAAAGGGGACTGTAAGATAAAGAAGGCTCAGTGAACACCCTCAGCATTCTAGGAAATCTCTATGTCAGTTGGGGACCAATAGAGTCTTTCAATTTGCAGAGAGAAGTGAAGGCACAAAGAAGCAACTCACTCGAGGGCATGAGGTTGTCAGCAATGAAGAGGTGCCATTAGCTGCTAACCCAATGCTGGCTCTCGGACCTTCTGCTGAACTACACATCTTAGTGGGGAACCCACCCACCAACAGGGTCTCAATTCAAAGACACACTCACACTGCCGCTCCTTTATCTTCCACTCCACCACTCTCTGCAAATGGAAGGCGATAGTTAGAAGCGTCGTTTCTGCCTAATACTGGAGCGGGAGGCTCTCCCTACACCTCTACAGCTCTTCCTGTAGGAAAGGAGCCATGCTGGTTCCTTGAAAAAACTGGTACTGATTCCTACGGAGACGCTCCACCCCGTGTCACACAGAGCTGTCCCAGGACGTCATCAAATATTGACATCCTGTCCGGGTGAGCTGGTAGCCATGCTGAAGGAAGACACGTACCCAGTTCTGGAATCTTCCTACTTCAGGAGGCCAATCACTGAGCAACTGTCCTATATTCTTTTATTTGTTATCTAATTCATCAAGAAACTTCTATTAAGACACCACCCAGAGTAAACCATTCCATTTCCAGTCAGTATCTAGTAACAAGTCAGTTTTTCCATTTTTCAGATGTGCATCATAAACTTGATCTACTTTTTAAAAATCTTTATTGTGGAAAGGATAACATATACCCACTTTCCCACCCCCACCCCCCTTGGACCTCTTCTAGTAGCCCCCGCCCCCTGCCTCAGGCCTTCACAACCCTATTGTCTGTGTCCATGGGTTATGCATACATGCATGCAAGTTCTTTGGTTGATCTCTTCCCACCCAACCTCCCCTGCCTTCCCTCTGAGGTTCAACAGTTTGTTCCATGCTTCTATGTCTCTGGATCTATTTTGTTCATCAGTTTATTTTGTTCATGAGACTCCACATAAAAGTGAGATCATGTGATACTTATCTTCCTCTGACTGTCTTATTTTGCTTAGCATAATATTCTCCCAAGTCCATCCATGCTGTTGCAAATGGTAAGAGTTCTTTCTTTTTACAGCTGCATAGTATTCCACTGAGTAAATGTACCACAGATTTTTTATCCACTCATCTGCTGATGGGCACCTGGACTGTTTCCAAATCTTAGCTATTGTTAATGGCACTGCTATAAGCGTAGGGGTGCCTATATTCTTTATGATTGGTGTTTCTGATTTCTTAGGATATATTAGTAGAATTGGGATCACTGGGTCAAATGGAAGTTCCATTTTTAATTGTTTGAAGAAACTCCATACTGTTTTCCATAATGGCTACACCAGTGTGCATTCCCACCAGCAGTGCAGTAGGGTTCCCTTTTTTCCACATCTTCACCAACACTTGTTGTTTGTTGATTTGTTGATGGTAGCCGTTCTGACAGGTGCCATTTTAATTTGCATTTCTCTGGTGATTAGTGACTTTGAGCATTTTTTCATATGCCTCTTGGCCTTTTGTATGTCCACTTTGGAGAAGTATCTATTTAGGACTTTTGCCCATTTTTAAACTGGATTGTTTGTCTTCCTTTTGTTAAGTTGTATGTGTTCCTTATATATTTTGAATAATAATCCCTTATCAGATGTATCATTGGCAAATATGCTCTCCCATGCAGTGAGCTCTCTTTTCATTTTATTGATGATTTCTATTGCTGTGCAGAAGCTTTTTATTTTGATGTAGTTGCATTTGTTTATTTTCTCATTAGTTTCCTTTGTCCTAGGAGATGTATTGGCAACAATTCTGCTATGTGAGATGTCTGAGATTTTGCTGCCTATGGTTTCTTCTAAGCTTTTTATGGTTTCCCAACTTACATTTAAGTCTTTTATCTATTTTGAATTTATTCTTGTGTATGGTATAAGTTAGTGGTCTAGTTTCTTTTTTTTTTTCTTTTGCATGTACCTATGCAATGTTCCCAACACCATTTATTGAAGAGACTGTCTTGACTCCATTGTATGCTCTTGCCTCCTTTGTCAAATATTAATTGAGCATAATGTCTTGGGTCGATTTCTGGGTTCTCTGCTTTGTTCCATTGATCTATATGCTTGTTCTTGTGCCAGTTCCAGGCCGTTTTGATTAGTATAACTTGTTATCTGGTCTTATGATCCCTCCAACTTAGTTCTTTCTCAAGATTGCTGTTCTGGGACTTTCATGGTTCCATGTAAATTTTTGGAGTGTTTGTTCTAGATCTGTGAAATATGTCGTCAGTATTTAATAGGGATTGCATTGAATCTGTAGATTGCTTTGGGTAGTAGGAATCTTTTAATTATGCTGATTCTAATAATCCATGAGCACAGTATATTCTTCCACTTGTTTATATCTTTTTCTATCTCTTTTTTCAATGTCCTGTAGTTTTCAGAGTACAAGTCTTTTACTTCCTTGGTAAAGTTTATTCCTAAGTATCTTAACTTTTTTGTTGCAATGGCAAATGGAATTGTTTCTTTAGTTTCTCTTTCTGAGAGTTCATTATTGGTGCATAAAAAAGCCATCGATTTCTGGGTGTTAATTTTATATTCTGCTACATTTCCAAATTCATTTATTAAATCTAGTAGTTTTTTATGGAGTGTTTAGGGTTTTCTATGAACAAGTGACCTGTGATTAATGACAGTTTTTCTTCCTCCTTTCCAATTTGGAAGCCTTTTATTTCTTCTTCTTGTCTGATTGTGATGGCTAGCACTTCCAGTACTATGTCGCACAGGAGTGGTGAGAGTGGGCATCCCTGTCTTGCTCCTGTTCTCAGGGGAAATGGTTTTAGTTTTTGTCCATTGAGTATGATGTTGGCTGTGGGTTTGTCATATAAGGCTTTTATTATGTTGAGGTATAATCCCTCTATTCCTACTTTGCTAAGAGTTTTTATCAAAAAAAGGGTGTCGGATTTTGTGGAGTGCTTTTTTCTGCATCAATTGATATGATCATGTGATTTTTGCCTTGCAATCTGTTTATGTGATGTATCACATTTTATTGATTTTCAAAAATTGTACTAGCCTTGCATCCCCAGTGATCTACTTTTAAGTATGTTATACTTTAAAACATCCACAACAGCCCTGGCTGGATGGTTGAGTTGGTTGGAGCATCGTTCAGTACACCAAAGGTTGCAGGTTCAATCCCCGGGTGGCGGGTTGGGGGGGGGGGGGGGAGGGAACATACCAGAGGCAACCAATCGATATCTCTCTCTCTCTCTCTCTCTCTCATCAATAAAAACATATCCTTGGGTGAGGATAAAAAAATAAAACATCAACAACATTATGTGCTCATCATAAAAAGACCATCCTGTTCAGTATTATTAGTTTAAAAAAATCAAGTTTTTCAATATAATTACTAGCATACAAGAAATACAGATTGGTGGGAGCGAATTTAAATGACACTCAGGGCTGTCAGGGCTGTCAGTTAGCAGAATCCGGAATGTGGGAAACTGTACATCAGGTGATCCCTGTCATAGCTGGGTGATGGGTGCCTGGCAGAGGGACGGCGTGGGTGGGTGGGGGAAGCACCGGGGGGGGGGGGGCGGTTGTATAATTTGCTTTGCTTCTGTGAATGTAAAATTTTTACAACAAAGAGTTAAAAATACTTGCACATATTTTGCATACACACACAATCCAAAAGAAGATGCAATCAGACACCTCTCCCTCACCCATTATAATGGGAGACAGTGAGGATGAAAATCTGTAGAAAGAACCAAAATGTCCACCTCACTCACTCTCGCACCTCATCTTTCTGGGCTGGCCCATCAGACTCTGAATCAGAGTCACTGCATGACTCTAGGAGACACTGAGCATGGGGACAGGGGGCGATGCCAGCCTGTATCTCAGGTCTGAGTGATTTGGAGCAAATCACTTAAACTCCCTGAGCACCAATGGTTTCCTTTATCAAAAAATGAGAGTCATGCCCTAACCGGTTTGGCTCAGTGGATAGAGCGTTGGCCTGCAGACTGAAAGACCCCAGGTTTGATTCCGGTCAAGGGCATGTACCTTGGTTGCGGGCACATCCCCAGTAGGAGGTATGCAGGAGGCAGCTGATTGATGTTTCTCTCTCATCGATGTTTCTAACTCTCTATCCGTCTCCTTTCCTCTCTGTAAAATATCAATAAAATATATTTTTTTAAAAATGAGAGTCATTAATTCAACAAACATTTGTGGTGGATGTCAAGATGAGGTAGACAACCACTCCTGCACACTAGGAACAAGAAATAAGCACAAGGAATCTATTATACAAGGTTGGATGGCCATTAGGGGCTCTGAGCTAAAGAGGGTCACTGGTCTCCGAATATCAGGGAAAGCTCCCAGGAGAAGCTGCCATTTGGGCAGGACTCTGCCAGATAGGATTTCAGCAGGCCAATGGGAAGAGGAGGGCAAGGAGGCAGAAGGAGGCAGAGCCCAGGGCATAAGAAAGAAGTGGTATTGTAACTTACATAAATGGCTATACACTATGCTGTACAGCAGAAACTAATATAATATCGAATGTCAACTGTAACTGAAAAAGAAGTAAAAACACTAAGATTGAAAATCTCTTTAATTAATAAATAAATAGTCCTTCCTCCATCTTTGTTTGGTTCAATGTGTGTATCATGTCTGCATGTACTAGATTGCAATTCTTTCTTTTTCCTGAATAAATCTTTTTCGGTGACAGGGGGAAAAACTAAGATATAAACCTGCAAGGAGGTGAGGGCCAGGCTGTGAGGCCAGGGATGTGCCCGGTGTGCTGGCGCCTGTGGACGGCAATGGGGCCATAAGAGGCTCTGAGGAGGGTGTTTTGATCAGGATGGTCCTCTAAGGAGATTATTACAAAGGGTGCACTGGGGAGAAACACTTGGTCCTCTTTGCAGCTAGAAAGAGAAAAGGCCCCACTCAGCCTCTCTATGGGCCATTGCTGATAGCAAAATAGACAAGACATGTTCTACAATGCAACAAGATTCCTTCTCCAGGGAAAAAGCACACACACACATGCACACACGCACACACACACACGCATACACGCACACACACGCACACAGTCGTGAGGCATGGGGTTTGAGCAGAACTCCATGAAAAACATGTCAGAGAAAGTACAGCTAGGAAAAGGAAAGGTACCAAATGCAGACACAGCGAAGACCGAGGCTAGCGGGGAAATGTGGCCTCTTCTCTCCCATTTCAGAGAGATCCCTGCATCATGCCCTGGCTCCTTCTGGAACCAAGGTCTCCAGGAGCCTGAGTTCAGGGCTGGTCCCCACGCCAGGTGGCGCTTCCTGAGGGGAGGTGGGAAAGAGAGGCCACCCCAGCCCCGCAGCACAGGACACTGCCCGCAATATCTTTCTAGTCTCTCTACAGCAAATTACATTGCAAAATCAAGGCGCACGCAAGTGAGAATGTAAGAGAAGTGTAATAGAGTGTGCCAGGCAGTTGATTCATACACGTGTTCATTTGCTGTTTGTGGTATTTGGCAGCTTTTTAAAATGTGTAATTTGTGAATTTTTTCTCTTCTCACTCCATAAATGAAAATAACTGGTTAACTTTT